GGCGCCGAGCCAAATCCTTCCAGCTTTAATAAAAGCCTATTTCCTCTTATTAATTCCTGCAACATGGCCACACAGGATCCCTCTTCCACACCTTCTTGACACTAACTGACACAATTGTCGTACTATCGACCTATCTTTAACAATATTGCTTAGAGCAGAATCTAGAGCTTACCTAAACTCTAGATATAATAAAAATAAAATGGATACCACCTAACACAATTCTAAAAGGAAGAGGCGAAATTTACATTTGTAAAATTTTCAAAATTGTTTTCAAAATCCAGTTTGTACCTTACACTTAGAGAATCTTTCAACTCCTGATTAGCCACATTGCGAGTGCTAAATGTGATCAGTGGCTAGGACAACGGAGATATGTATAATTTATGCAAATAAATATGGAAAGGAAGTAAAAAGAGATCAAATATTATAAACCTTATAGATAATTAGATTCCTAGGATTTTAAGCACTGGTTTTGCCATAGTCAATAGTATTGACTATTCTAACTTGTCAAATCATATGCATCCTCGGAAACTCATTCCTTATACAAAATGAACGATTATACTCCAAAGAGCCTGAAACGGGGCATTAGTCTTACTGTTAAATCTGATCATAACAAGGTTGACATTCATACTATAAGCACCACCCTTCATGCAGGGACCCTTGTAAAATAAAGTTGGCATTACTCATTACACAATAGCAATGAGATACAGATGTTTTATGTTTTATATGCCTAGAAAAATACATGTCAAAAGCACTTCCTACATGTAAGTGCAGGTAATTATGAGTAACTTTTATTACCTTTCCCCACAAGTTTTGACTGTCCCACTGAGCATCCATTTACACGTCTAATCTCTGTATAATTAATCGAACCTAGTGTCTAGGGCTATCATCCATAAAAACATGAAGTATGCCTCATACTATCTTTTTTTAATACTGTCCTAATTATATTAAATTTTCCAAAAATATAACTGGTATATAAATCAAGGGCCAATAGTTCTCTGTTTTCTTGCGATTAACCCAAAAAATCTGTTCACCAATTCAGAAAATGCAATCACTGAAGGTAAGACTATGATGACAATTAAGCCACCAATATCTGTTTCTGAAGATGTCAGTGTATTCCCCAAATAGTGCAAACATGGACCACTTCACGCCTGAGTGAATGTATCACATTTATTTACACACATTGTTTTAGTGTTAATTATAAAATTGTATCTTTATTTCTCCTTCATATTTATTTCAGGTAGGAAATTACATTGAATTTTCTAAAAATACGATGCAAAAATGAAGACAAAGTATGTAGAAGATTTTTACTTTATAATAGTCAAGGGGATCACCCAATATTTATTATGAAAAGTCTGTGTTCAATCTGATATGATTAAGAACTAGTTTACAGTAAGCCAAACAATACACACTATAATTATCCTAACCCAAGTAGCTGTGAGTCACTTACCTTCCATACTTGGGGAAGGGAAAGCAATCACCATTAGCACGGGAAGAATCATTACTCCATCTACCATTGTACAACTGTGGAATGAAAAGAAGAGATGTAAGTGAAACAAAAAAAATCTAACCACAGGATGACAAATTCAATTAAGCATACCATCTTCACACATTCAAGGCCCTCCTCACAAATGCCCTTATTTCTTATTTACTTCATTTAACATGCATTCTTTTTATGAATCTAAACATACCATCCCTGACTGGTAGCCACTCTAAGGCTACTTTTTCAGAATCTACTCTTGTAGAGAACTCAATAAGACTATGAAAAACTTTCACTTTTAAGTCTAGGCACTCCCAAAAACATTTAAAGTTTGAATTTATTTTACCCTATTAAATGAACAATTGGCACTAAATTAAAAACCCTGAGAAACATCAATAGACTGTTTTAACATGCTGTTGGAGATTAAGTGATTGAATATAGTTGAGCCTTGCTTCTCCATTAAAAGGGTTGGAGGTGGAGTAACCTATATCCTTATACAGCCCCAAGACAAAAAACGAACAAGAAATAAATACAAAAAAAAAAAAAAAAAATGGTATACTTCTTCTATGGCAAAGCTAAACATTTCTACGCTAACTTCAAACTTAACAATGGATAGATACAACTAAGACAGGAAGATTTTCAATATAAGAAATCATGTAAATCTATAAAATAGAAAACTATCACTTAGAGAAAATAAGATATTTGATACAAATTCTAAGTGGGTATTGTCCTAAAACTACATTGGTAGAAGCTCAATTTTCTGAGTTAAAGTGAAAATAATAAAGAACTCTTCCATTTAAATAATTTCTGCAAAATATCAAGAATATAATGGGAGTTCAGTTTGTTGCAATTTTCTGGATGATAAAATAAAGTGGTAAAGTCCTTTCTCCTATAGTTTTAAAACAAAGAGCAAAAGCCCAATGCTACCTAACTTGTTTGGAGTGTTCAATTTCTAACTTTCTTCTCAAAATCAATTTCTCATTTCAACTTATTTCTCCTTTTTCCATAGTTATATTTCAGCTTATCCCTCCTATAATAGCAATATACCCTCTTTGCATATTTTTAAGAGTATATGAAACTTGGCCAGTGGAGGTGGCCCACACCTGTAATCCTAGAACTCTGGGAGGCTGAGGTGGGTGAATTGCCTGAGCTCAGGGGTTCGAGACCAGTCTAAGCCAGAGAAAGACCCCCATCTCTACTAAAAATAAAAAACTGGCTGGGCGTTGAGACAGGTGCCTATAGTCCCAGCTACGTGGGAGGCTGAGGCAAGAGGATCACTTGAGCCCAAGAGTTGCAGTTGCTGTGAACTATGATGCTACAACACTCAACCCCAGGGCAACTGAGAATCTATCTCAAAAGAAAAAAGAAAAAAAAAAGTCTATGAAACGTGAGCAACCCCCTTTTACAGGTGTTGTCATTATTATTATTATTACCACATCAACATAGATCTTTTCTACAGTAGACTATTGCGGGGACATACAAATCCCTCACTGTGGTGCGTCACGACCAGAGCCTGCCTCCTCCAACACATCTCTGGGCCTTTTAGCATGCCTGTGCAGTTAGTTCCCCTCTGCTTCAATGGTCGGCCTCTCCTCCACCCCTCTGCTACCCCAGGTCCTACTCCTTTCATGCAGGATCTAGCTCGAAGCAAGCACTTGGTGAAACATGTCTCCATGAGCAGTGACTTCAGCCCCCCAGCACTGGTCTCCACCACTCTGAATCATAATCATGTGTCTACAGTAGTCTCAAGCACTAGCCCACTCATCTCCAAAACTGGTAGGCACTTCCAAAGGTCACGTAAGGGTCATTCATTGAGCTATGGAATCAAAGTATCAAAATTTCTTTTTCATAAATATTTCAATATAATAAAGTAGTAAATAACTTAAGCATTAATTTTGTCTCTCTGTTCCTTATGAGTCTATTGACTATCAGTCAGAAAAAGCAGGAAAGAAGGTATCGGTCAGAAAGCGTAGGGAAGGGTAGACGTGATTAGAACATGGACACGTACTGTAGTTTTGAGGGTCTATTCAAGTGGGATTATATTGGCTAGTTATAATGAAGTGAGCCCTCCCCAAATGACAAGTGTTCTAAAACCATTAAAGAAATTAGAGCTTGAATATGTTATTAAGGCAGGCACCAGAGAAGAGTAAGAAATGACAGGCCTGACACTGCCTATTCTCGAGGTTCTACATTAATCACTTTACTAAAGAAAAGTAATAATACTCAGTTCAATCTGACATGAAGCGGTCTCTTCAAATTCAAAATTTAAAAATATCTGGAAAATGCATTTGCACCCACTGCTATATATAATAAACATCATCCTGAGTGCTTAGAGATTTTCATTAATAATATGATGCTATCACCATTAGCAATAGCGTAAATATTTTCTTTCATTTTTTAATTATTAAAATTAAAATTTTAAATCATTTTATGTGTGTCATATAATATGTACTTTTTATTTTATATAAAACATATAACCAGAAAATATAATGAGGGTACACCAAAAAACTTAACTGACAAGATATGTCAACAAAAGCCAGTGAAAACCACTGGACTAACCTATTTCTCATCTGAGTCTTTTACCTTTGAACTCCCAGTCTTTCATTCATTAATTTATTCATCCATTCAAAATCTATAGAGAACCTACTATGTCTTATACATTAGAAACCTAAAATGATGAAGACATATAAATATTGTCTTTGCTATCACGGAGCTTACAAATAATCAAAGAGTCATCCAAAAACGCACATAAATAAAAACTGAATTAACTATTTGGAAGGAACATAGTAAAAACAACTCTATTAACGAAACAACTTGAAGTTTTCTGGAGGACGAGGAAAGGTCCATGGGGAGGTAACATCTGAAGAGGAACCAAGAAGCCAAAGGATATGTAGGAGGTATAGGGAAAGGTGCACGCAGGACACAAGGCATAATTTTTTAGCTTCTTTAGAGGCTCTGTGGCCAGGGCCAGCAGGGTGTATGGTAAGGCCTAGTGGCATACCTCAGAACTGAAAAAACACCAGCACGGCCAGGACACGGAGAGCCTAGAAGAGTTTTAAGAAGTTGGAGAATACTCCAGAAGGCCGGTGGGGGGGGCGGGGGGTCCGCCCACAGGGCGCTCTATGTCCACTACTCAGCTCTCTATCTCCACTCCCATGAAGCCCCCTTGGTCCTCAACACCATCTCTTAGTTCCTTTACTTGTCACCATCCATTCTTCCAGTGAATGGAACCAGCCTGCTCCCTGTCTACCTCTGGACCTTCCAGCATGAAGTCCCCTGTGATGGGCCTTTCCTTCCAGAAGCTTAACTAAACCCTTAAATCCTCTTTTCTTGCTCTCATATCTCACTTTGCTAATGATTACTCATAGAAATAATCATGATTGCTAATTATACATGTATATTCATACCTGTGTATGCTTTCGAACATCTCTCTCACGAGACTGTAAACTCCATGGTAGCAAAATCTATCTTGTTCATCACTACCCGAGCCAAGTAAGTGCACATTTAATATCTGTTTAGTTAGATTTCCCCTGAATTAACCAGCTCAATTTATGTTTAAATTCTAAAGACTTAACCGCCATTCCTCACCTTCCCACCACATACACACCCTCAAAGGAAAGGCAAGATGAAAAGATCTACCATCTCCATAACTATATCTGTAATGTAGTTCAGTTAACAGTAAAAGTTATCAGTCAACGAGCTTTAAAATCAAGAATGCTGTAATTATTTAAAAAAAGAAAATCTAAGAAACAATCCCCACTGACCTATTTTCCACATCTCAAAGCCAGAAAAAGCCCATGCCCCAAATACCCATGAACAATAGTTTATCACTGTGCAAGCAAAATTAAAACACCCGTTTAGGCTCATAAATAGAAAACAGAGAAAGAATTAGAAATTCAGTCCCCCGAACTAATCTCCTTAAAGATACCTCAAAATCTGCCAAAAATCTTTGGGAAAGAAGTCACTATCACTTACTGCCTGCCATCTTGTTCAAGGTGTGAACAATTAATTGACCAGTAAATTCAGCTATTAAAAATGTTATTCCCAAAGGAAAGAAAAGAAAATGTAGAAAGGAGAATGTTCTGAAATTTCTTGCCATATTTTAATGATAAGAAACATCAGTATGCTAAAGAATCAACCTGAAGCCCCGAGGACCTATTTAAAATTTTTAAATATATTAAGAAAAAATCGTTTTCAAAAATAAATTTTCAACTTGCCTGCTCTGAAGTATTATTGGCTAAGGAGTTTTCAGATGTTACCTAGCAGAAAGAGAGACTGGTAGTGGAAAATGCGAGGGGCAATAATTTCAATAGTTCAGGGAAACCTTACTCCAGTGGTTTTCCAACTTTTTGGTCTCGAGATCTCTTTCTTCTCTTGGAAATTACTAGGGAGCTTATCTACTGATATTACTGTATTAGAAGCTAAAACTGAGATTTTTTAAAATACTGTATTCGATTAAAATAATAAAAAATATAACCCTGTTATTAAAAAATATAACAAGAATTATATTTTTTAAAAAATATATACTGAGAAAATTACATTGTTTTGCATTTTTGTAAATCTCTATGTTTGGCTTAGTAGAAGACAGCCAGATTCTCATCTATGATTCTACATTCAATCTGTTATGACATATTGTATTGCTTGAAGTATATATATAGAAAATTAAGCCTTGTACGTGTCACTGGAAGATAGAGGACCTTGCAGAAACCCTGACAAAATACTGGGAACCCCAGGAGTTTTTGGACCATTCCCTTCCTCCTTAAATGCTCAGTCCTTCTATTATACCAGATAACAAATGACACCAGATACTTTAACCTGATCCCTTACCCAATGTCTAACAAAAATGCCACTGTTGTACAGTTTTAGACATCCCATTAACCACGCTAACATCAAGGAAGTCAACAAGTCTAACAGTCGAAGAAGAACACATTAGGTATTTTTTAATGTAGGAAAAATAATTTATGTGCACAGTTCAATAGTTTTTGAACTTGTAATAAGAGATACTCACAACGGCTCATCTCATTTAGGTTCAACTAAATCCTAT